TTAGGCTGCGCGGACTATCTACGCGTGCGGATTATACAGGAGTTTTGTTTTTCAGGATCGTTCATTATAACGAGAGGTGACCGATTTTCTGAATGAAAGAGTGTGTTATTAATGATTTATGTATACTACAAGCTTCTTTGTACGCTTAAAAGTGAACATTTTTCAAGGTGTTCCGTGTATGAGAAGATTTTCGTGTCGATTAAACACCAGGGCCTACTATGCACAGCGTGCGGACTATGCACCGGGTGCGGACTACACCCAGACAACACCCGACATCCTCAGGACGTCCTCGAAAGGTACAAACGCCCTCAAGGTTTTCAAGACGTCCTCAGGACATCCTGAGAACGTCAGTCGCTGGATCATCCTAGAAACGTCCTTCCGAGGACTTATTGAGGACGAAGGATACAAAGTTAGAGGTAATATATACGTCCTCAATTTGATTGCGTTTTTAAACAAATAAATGAATGAAATAGCGGTAGTATACACAGTTCACGTTCACTGCTCAATTAAATTTCACATACAAATTATTACATGTAGTTGCGTTAGTTTATGACATTTTTTAACTATAGTTTTGATCAAACGATTCTTTAATAAAACCAGGACGCCCTACAATTATTATTAGTTTTGTATTTGCACAGTATTTCGAAATTCAGTTCCACTGTAACATTCAATCTAGGTGGCGCAAGCTACCGCCTGCCACAAGGTGTACCGTTATGGTAATTATCCACCCATCCGAGAGACTCAAGCAAGCTAAGCCAAGACAGGACAGAAACAGAAATAGCTCCGAGGTAGGTTGATGATGGCTTGATAATGTGGATGCTTGGGCTAGATGGTAATTCATGTTTGGATGGAGCAGCGCGGATACAGTCATACTCACAGCAACGAGGTAGAGAAGCTTAGAGTGATAAACCGGAAGTTTGGAAGTGGCACCCCCCCCGGTTGCCGCCATGCTTTACGCATATGTGACCACTCGTCACGTGACCTCCCAAGAGCCGTGACGTCACAGGTAAGATGGCAGCGCCCAGAGCTGGCGGATGCGAGTTTGTTCGGTGTGCGGTAGCCGTGATGTGCAGCTGCTTTCCGACGACTTCGGACTTCTTCGTGCTCGCTGACGCAGGTATAATGTGAAAATATGAAGGAATGAGACTTTATACCCTTTTTGCGCAAGATCGCACTGGATCATCTGGATATTAACACCTGTGAAGCAGCATCAGCCGTATCGCCGTACCGGTGCTCGGATTCGGGATCTGTTCGAGGATCGATGGAACTTTGAGTGCTTTTAGCATAAAATTTTCGCATTCTCTTAGCTTTGTTTGAACGTTGGAATGTCTGAGAATCGACACGAAATGTATGCGTCGGATGTAGGGCCTAGGGGAATTTGTTTCAGCCCTAGGTAACTGCATAATCACAGCAACTTTTAGCGAGGAAGCTCCTGCGACCTTTCGTTTAGCACTTATCAACAATTTTACGATATAACTTCAGGCATAAAATATTCGCATTTTTCCAGCTTTGTTTGAACGTTGGAATGTCTGAGAATCGAAGCGAAAGGTATACGTCGCGTTAGGGCCTAGGGGAAGTTGTTTCAGCCCTGCGTCACCGAATAACCATAGCAACTTTTAGCGAGGAAGTTCCTCGAATCGACGATTTTACATTCGATTGATTTTCTTCCTTTTTTTGTGAGTGCGAAGTGCACACTTATTTTCAGCTATGAGGATGACGTTTTATTGAGTGTGGGGATGAATAAATCATTGCAGGCACCTGCTTCAAAGCTATTCGACTTGCTATAAGAACAACTGTTTTGGTGTATGCATAGATTAACTGCACCTTTTTTTCTTTCGTAGGATTTATTGCAGCAATACTTTTTTTTCATCATGAGTGTACTGCATTAATAGGTCAATTATTTACTTGTTCTGATTACCTGGATAAGATGATTCACATTTCTGTTCATCCCTCGCCTGAAGAGCAGTCATTGAGAAATGTTGACCATTCCTCTCGGTCTCTTCAATAGCCTTTTTGGAAAGTGTGGGCTGCCTATACTTCGTATCACTGTAACTTGGAAAAGGGCAACCGCCACAGCCCCCTCGAGCCAATCAGAGACACGGAGAGAAAGTGTGTGACAAATCTGTGCAGACGAGCACTCTGACGATATGTTGTCATGTGCCTCTCTCCCATGTGCCTATTGACTCGCCGAGGCGGTAGCCTTTGCCGTTTGCCAGATTGTGATGAAACGAATTACAGTAGCTACTACTATAATTACCCCAGGCTTTCATACTTTGGGCATTTGTTCGGCAAGAATGTTATGTCCACCATTACTGTGAACTCGGCTCGGCGCCTATTGGACTCGAATGCTGCATTAGCATTCGACGTGAACTGGGGCCCAATCGTGTGCTTTACGCCGAAAAAAAAATGGTGACAGTTGTGTTGCTTGATGGGGTTCTGCAAAGGGTGTATTGTGTCATACGTATAGGAAGTGTCCTGCTATATAACTATGCATCAACACATACTATGAAAGTATATGCTCAGAGGTGTGTTTGTTTTTGCAATTAAAAAGTTACAGCAGTGTGCTTTAATGTTATTATCATGTGTGTAGTATTGAGTATCCTCTCTGCAATGCCTACGAAGGCCCCTGGAGGGAATAAATTAATAAATAACATTTTCACATCACTGGAGTCGGTTTTCGGATGCACCACATGTTCAGGAGAGGTGGAGCGTGTGCAGCACCATGCAACAAGTCTGCCAGTCTGTTAGGTTCCATTAATTAATATTAAAGGGTCAGAGACGCGAGTGTCCCCAAAAGGACCTGCGAGTGCAGTGAACACAATTCTTGGTGTATAGACTCTTAAGGCGTAAAGGCAAGCGGAAATATGTTTATCTGGTTAGTGTATCAAATATGTTTATTTCCACTTGATTACATAATTATTGATTCTTAGTAAATGGTTCCATAACGAGTTCTTTCTGCGACAGTCTTCTGTCAGGCGTTCAGTCGTAGTACCTGTCGGATGACGCTCCTGGCACGTCGGTGTTCAGTTTGGTTGAGTAGCAACTTTGACCGACTGATACAGTCTTGTAATCATACGTCATGTGCAGCCACTGACATCTGATGCACTGAAGCCGCAGGGCTGGCTTCTAATCCGCAAATTTTCCTGGTAGTTTTCTGCATCAACGCAGCTAGCTTGGGCATGTATTGGTTACGTGACTGTGCCTTTTGCTGTACCGTTGACTAGATAGCTGGCAACAATGTTTGCTATCCAAGCCATTTCACTTCCATTTCGTAATTGCGATTTATTCTGCATCCCGCGACCACTGCAACTTGTGTAAGTCTCGTGTGGCAAAGTGAAGTCTCGTGATGCTTGCCGTTCACTTTAGGGAGCAACTAACCATTCTATTTCTTCAAGTCACTCAGCGGCATTCTCCCTCAAAGTTGTAAATTGTGTGCTTCGTGGCGTGGACACAGATAATTAGTGTCAGCAAATTATTAGGTATTGTCCTTGGACGACAACCGACACCAGATCAACTGTCCTTGCATTGCCGCTCACCTGCTTTGTCGTGCTTACCTCCCGTCCAAATGAAGTGGATCACGAGCTTCAAGGTAATGTCGGCACCAAGGACAAAGACCGCCGAAGATAATCCTCAATCTTTCGCGGACGCTCGTCAAAACGTGGTCGAGGGTCGTTCGGCACGAACCCTTGCAGGCCAATTCATTTGTACGGGCACCTCCAGTAGACATGGTCGGCCTCATGCAATGATAGCAGAGTGGTTTTCGGTCGGCAATTCGCAACAGCTCCGTTTTCCTCGGTGCAATGTGTTCAGCGCGGACCTACATTGGTTCTTCCCGATGTCAGGAATGCTTCGGAGTTGGGGTGTCTCGTTGAATTCACATTGAATAGTAACAGGTAGGCGGTGGTGGTCGTTGTGACTTTGTGGCATAAGTCGCCCTCGGTTCGTCAGATGTCGCTTTGCTCGAAGAAGTCTCCAGTTGAAATGCCTGTCGAACTTCCTCCGAAACAATCTTGGCAATCAAAATAAAAGCCGGGCAATTAATGGCAGAAACTAGCTTCCTTATCTCCTTCCGGACACCGTTATGGATGATGTCACGGATGCTTGGGGGGTGGCGTCGAAGTTGCAGCTGGACGACTCGAGTGTCGAGACGCTGGGGAGTTGTTGATAATGATATTGATAGGCTCGGGCCTGCAGTGTACATTCAATGTTGGAAGCCTCGCTGATATGAACTGTTGTGTAGTTACCGCCAAGCGCGCGTTACTGGGACTATAGTAGCGGCGCTTTAGTTCCTTCGTTCTTCTTCTTTATCGTCGTGTCAGTTTGATAGCACGAGAGGTTCGTTCTAGTTCCACGCTCCATGGAATAAACCTCGGGCCATGGTCCTCCGGTCTACTGTGTCTGTTGCCCCGTCAAGACACGACAACTTGGCGACGAGGATGGGATCGCTGAACTGCTACGCGGAAGCCGACATGGCAACGGGGGATCCGGCAGCGACGGGTCAAGTGCCGCAAGTCTTCGGCCGACTGGGACACATCGAGCCCTTTGACGAATCGACGAGCGACTGGCCGTCGTATGAGGAACGACTCACGTCGTTTCTTCTGGTCAACCGAATCGCCGAGGACGACAAGGTACACGCATTTTTGAGTCTCATAGGCCCGAAAACGTACAGTCTTCTGAAGTCATTGACCGCACCGGAGTTGCCAGCAAGAAAAACGTTTGATGAGCTAAAGAAGCTTTTGGGGGATCACCTGGCACCGAAGCCATCGGTAATCAGCGAGCGCGCAAAGTTTCACAGAAGAACGCAGCTCGAGAACGAATCTGTAGCAGCCTTTGTTGCAGAATTACGCAAATTGGCGCAAACCTGCGACTTCGAAGCCGCACTTGACCAGTCCTTGAGGGACCGTTTCGTCTGCGGTTTACGCAGAGAGGACATTCAGCGTGTGTTGTTCACAGAGGACAACAAGCTAACTTCCCAGAGAGCCGTCGAAAAAGCGCTAGCCATGGAAGCAGCAAAAAAGAACGTCGCTGAAACACATGCGTCAGAACCTAGAGTTTCGGACGTACACAAGGTGAAGGCCGTCGCGGAGGCGAACGTGACGCAGCGAGAATGCTATCGCTGCGGCTCAGCGAAACATGGAAGCCGGGTATGCCCGCACATTGCGGATATCTGTTTCAAGTGTAACAAAAAGGGGCATGTCCAAAGAGTGTGTCATGCTGACAAAGAAAAGAAATCGAAGTGGACGCCACGTAAGGCGATGAAGAAACTGGTTCCTGTTCAAGACCCAGTTGGCATGAAGGAAATGACCACGTCTGGTATGGAACCAATAAAACTCACAATAAACGTGCAGGAAGTTGCCTTGGAAATGGAACTGGACACAGGAGCAACTGTTTCTGTCATGTCACTGCAACAGTTTCGTCAGATATCTCCTTCAACAAAGATCATGCCGACGACGCTCAAGCTGCGCACGTTCAAGGGAGACATCGTTCAGCCCGTCGGGGTTGCTCACGCCAACGTGCAGTACGGACAGCAGAGGACCGAGCTTCCCCTCTACATCACAAGAGAAAAGGGACCACCTCTGCTCGGCCGGCAGTGGCTGCAAGCGATCCGATTGGATTGGAATCGGATTTTCGGGATCAACAGCATTGCCAGGTCAGATGTTTTGGCGCTTTCCGAACAACGCACAAAGCTTGGTGTGCTTCTGGACTAGTACCAAAATCTGTTCAATAAAGACCTGGGAACTATTGCTGAAGAAAGGGCAGAGCTGACGCTAAAAGAAGGTCACGCACCGAAATTCCTCAAGGCAAGAAACGTGCCGTTTGCCCTACAGCCTGCTGTCGAGGCTGAACTAAAGAAGATGCAAGACATGGGCGTCATAACACCAGTCACAACGAGTGATTATGCGACGCCGGTTGTGCCAGTAGTGAAGAAGGACGGTGGAATAAGGTTGTGCGGCGACTACAAGACCACCGTGAATCCTTGCCTTGACACTGACCTGTATCCGCTCCCGAGAGTCGACGACTTGTTCGCAGCGCTTTCAGGAGGCCAGGAATTTTCGAAGATTGATTTAAACCGGGCTTATCACCAGGTGGTGATGGCTGAAACGTCGAGCAAGTACCTAACTTTAAATACACACAAAGGACTGTTTGCCGTTAACAGGTTACCATTCGGAGTCTCCTCGGCACCAGCCATTTTTCAGAGAATCATGGACACAATGCTGAAAGATCTGAAAGGCGTCAGTTGCTACTTGGATGACGTCCTCATCACCGGTAGGACGCCGGAAGAGCATTTGGCCAATTTGGAAGCAGTCCTAAAGCGGTTGTCAGAGCGTGGAGTTCGTGTGAAGAAGGAAAAATGCGCGTTTTTCCAGAAGGAGCTGCGTTATCTGGGCCACGTGATCAGTGCTGCAGGTGTCAGCACGACGCCAGAGAAGATCGAGGCTCTCCTGAAGGTTGCTGCACCCTCAAGCAAGCAGCAGCTCCAATCATTCCTGGGTATGGTAAATTACTACGGGAAGTTTGTTCCACGATTATCCACCCTGGCGAGCCCGCTCTACAGGCTGCTGCATCAAGACCAGCGCTGGTGTTGGGACAAAGCGTGTCAAGCAGCGTTCGAGTAAATCAAGACAGCGCTAGCAACACCATCGATTCTGGCACACTACGACCCAAGTAAGCTTTGCAAGTTGCGTGCGACGCATCCCAGTATGGCATAGGCGCTGTTCTGTCTCATGTGACTGAAGATGGAAGCACTCGTCCTGTGGCGTATGCATCACGCACACTGACCGAAGCTGAAAAGAAGTACAGCCAACTTGAAAAGGAGGCACTAGCCATTATTTTTGGGATCAAAAAGTTCCACTTATACATCTACGGCCGAGTTTTCACTCTCGTCACGGATCACAAACCGCTGTAGACTATTTTGGGCCCAAAGACAGGCATTCCGTCTATTGCGGCAGCACGGTTGCAGCGCTGGGCTGTTACCTTGTCAGCGTACAAGTACTCGTTGGTGTACAAGAGATCCAGTGACAATGCAGAGGCCGATTTTTGCTCTAGGTTCCCTCTCGAAAGTGGGAAAGACGATAGTTGCGAGGGCGAAGAGTCCTTCTATGCACTGCGGCTAGAGTCAATGCCGGTGTCCTCTCAGGAGATTGCACGCGCTACGTCGCGCGACCCGTTACTTTGTGAAGTACTTGAATACACAAGCATGGGTTGGCCGACGCACGTGCAAGAACAACAACTCAGACCGTTCTTTGACAGACGCTTGCAGATGAGTGTTCATCAAGGGTGCCTAATGTACGGCATGAGGGTTGTTGTTCCGTCCCAGCTGCAGGAGCCCGTGCTCGACGAACTGCATCAAGGCCATCCCGGCATCGTGCGAAGTAAGGAGCTGGCTCGCAGCTATGTTTGGTGGCCATCAATTGACTCAGACCTTGAAAGAAAGGTACGAAGCTGCCAAGCATGTCAGGAACAGCGTAATGATCCATGCAAAGCGCCTCTTCACCCCTGGGCATGGCCGACAGCACCGTGGAGACGACTACACCTGGACTTTGCAGGCCCGTTCCGCGGAACCATGTTCCTAGTCGTGGTGGACGCGCACTCAAAGTGGCCAGAGGTGTTCACCTTGCAGAGCACTACGACCGAGCGCACTGTGAGGTGCCTACGTGAACTTTTCTGCAGGTTCGGAATTCCGGAAACAATCGTTTCAGACAACGGGCCGCAGCTGGTGTCCGAGGAATTCAAGGTGTTCATGAGGAACAACGGGGTCAGACACGTCGTGAGCGCCCCATACCACCCGAGCACAAACGGCTTGGCAGAACGGTTTGTGCAGACACTGAAGTCTGCACTACGCAAGTCATCCGCTGGTGAGTCTCTGGAAGAAGCATTGCAACACTTTTTGCTGACGTACCGGAATACTCCACATTCAACAACAGGAGAGACGCCAGCAAACTTGTTGATGGGCAGAAGATTGCGTTCCAGGTTGGATGTAATCAAGCCTACGGTAGAGGGGAAAGTGATCCACAAGCAATTTATACAAAGTAAGCAACGGAGGACAAGCAGAGAAGAAATCTGCCCTGGTGACAATGTCCTCGTGCGAAATAACAGGAGTTCGCCGAGGTGGTTACGTGGTACCGTCCTCAAGAAGACTGGTCCAGTATCTTACCAAGTCCAGGTTACCACGCCTCGAGGCAAGTTCATCTGGCGTCGGCACCTCGATCAACTTTTGAGCCAAACACGGCCAACGGCAACGCCGGTACCTTTGGACACCGACGACGCTGAGGGGTTCCTGGTCTTTTCACCAGGCGAGCCAAGTGTCCCGGCCACGGTACAAGAGCATGGGCCACAGCAGCCTCACACCATCCCGCAACGGGATCCTGTACCTCCTACAGGCCGATCTACTTCTGAAGGACGCTACCCATCGAGAGAACGGCGTCCGCCTGACAGATACCAAGCTCGCTCCTAACTTTTGTATAATACTGCCGTTGGCGCTGCTACGTAATCAAAGGGGGAGGAGTGTTGTGTAGTTACCGCCAAGCGCGCGCTACTGGGACTATAGTGGCGGCGCTTTAGTTCCTTCGCTCTTCTTCTTTATCGTCGTGTCAGTTTGATAGCACGAGAGGTTCGTTCTAGTTCCACGCTCCATGGAATAAACCTCGGGCCATGGTCCTCCGGTCTACTGTGTCTGTTGCCCCGTCAAGACACGACATGAACCCTTCGACTGCTGTCGTGGGGTTGCGGAGAAGGCTGCCGAACGTGTTGTCCCTCACATAGGTTCTTAGCTTCTTGTCTTCTGTAGCATCAGGGTTGGCGTGGGTGCTCGATCAGGCGCAAAACATTCTCCACAAAAGTGGTGACGCTCTTGTTGAGGCCGTGTCCTGGGCAGAATCAGGAATTCGGCTCTCTCTCGTCAATGTTGGCAGAAGAACTTGCACTTCAGCTCGGTCTTGCAAACTTTCCACGACGTTAAGGAGGATTCCTGGTTCTCAAACCAGTGCCTGGCAGTTTCTTCCATTAGAAGTATAGGTTCTGCAGGAGCTGGTTGTCCATCTACCCACTGTGGAGGGTGAGACGGTCATATGGTCATATTGTTCAATCCAGCACCCCACGTCTTATGCACCTTGCGTGAAAGGGCATCACAATGCGAGGTGCGACAGCCATGCAAACGATGGTGGGAGCGGACACGGTTTGCTGCTCAGGTTTGTCATTGTTGGCTTAGTCAGCTTCGGTTTTTCTTGCAAACGACCTAATTCCAATGGTTCTTGCTGGTAGCAGCAACTGGCTTGGATTTCAGGGTCTTCGTGGTGTATTTCCGAGGTTCGTCCTTGTGGTACTCGCTCGTCTTGCGGTTTTTCTGCCGGGCTCGGGATAGGACTTGGTTCCCGGCTCGCCGGGGGTTTAAGACGCGGGATAATGTGCCACCTGTGTCTTGTTATCGGGCAACTCAACTGAGGAGCCGCCAGGGTCCACACAGAGTGAAAGGCTATGGGTAAAGTGTGTAGCACCTCCACCAGAACATACAATGACAGCTGAGCATGGCCTGGAACTTCCAGAATAATAAATATTGATAGAAACTAGGACTGGAGCAAGCATCAGTGACAATATAACAAAACAGACAGAAGATAGTCTATCATGACCACTAAACAAGCTGCATTGCTTTAGTGGCATTCTGCCCGAATAAATCCTCTCCTTCGGGGTTTGGCGACTGCCGAGGACGAGCTGAACTGAAATGGATGTGGGACCACTTTTCTGGTAACGAGCCGCTGCAGATTGTCGTCGCAAAGCGGTGTGAACGGGTAGACTGGGTAGGATAACACGCGCGATGAAATGTCCATACAGCTTGCAATTCGCGTAACGAGTGTTGATGAAACTTTGGTGTCGACGAAAAGTGCGACAGAACAGCAGAATCAATACCAACAGCAACACCTGCGCTCCGTGAAAGTACACGTCTACGCCACAGCAATTTAGTAGGAAGCACAGCATCACCTAAAGGACGGCACAGGAACTAGCAGCTTGAAGGCAGCTCTCCGGCGCGCCGCACACCTGTGCTCCGTGAAAGTGCACGTCTACGCCGGAACAATTTGGGAAGCAGCACAGCATCACTTAGCACGGTGCGGGAACTACAAGCGTCAAGGCAGCTCTCCGATGCACCGCACAACGAAAGTGGGCCTTCGATCATTTGAACGAAGCGGCACCACGATTGCACACTGCCAAGCACGAATCATACAATTTCCGTCGCTAAACTGTGTATCCAAATATATTGCACACGCTTCACTGCAGATCTTGAAGGTTCCGATGGTCAACGCGAGTACAGAAACGTTGCCTTAAAATTTATCCTAGCGCTGTCCGAATGAATCCGAGGTCCGAGCAACGTAGGGCCGATTGTCTCTTCCGTGGCAACATCCCCGTCGGTCACCAGCGAAATGCACACCGTTCCTCCGTATTTTCATGTTATACCTACGTCAGACACCACGCTGAACTCTGAAGTCGCTTTCGACCGGCCTCATATGACAGCTTCCGTGTTTAAAATCAACTCGCCGAGACAAACGACAACCAACAAAGCATCCGACAAGCTCCGCCCCAGCTGGGGCCAGCTAGAGTAGGGCCAGCCGCTGCATGGGCGCTGCCATCTTTCCCGTGACGTCACGTATTTGGTTTGGTCATGTGACGAGTGGTCAAATTTGCGTACAATGGCAGCCGCCTTATGGGGGTCACTTTCCAGTGCAGACCGGAACCCCGGTTTATCGCTCTAAGCCCCTCTACCTCGTTGACTCACAGGCACACAAGAAGGAAACAAACTCGCAGCGCTGACTAACAACTCAGTCACATATTTCTTCTTTCTCATATCGTCATCTTCTCCTCCTTCGCCGTTAATGAGAACATTTAAAATTTGTAAACACCAGAAACCAAATAGCCAATAAACATAAATAAATAATAAATAAATGACAACTAAAAAGAGATAAAACTTAAAAAATTAAAAGAAATAATTTTTTAAGTTTAATTTTTTAATTGTAATTTATTTTCTAAAAATATTTTTTAACTTTATTTTTATTTTTTAAATTTTCTCAGTTTTATTTACTTTTAGCTGTCATTTATTTATTTATTATTTACTTATTAATGTTTATTGGCTATTTGGTTTCTTGTGCTTAAAAGTTTAAAATGTTCTCATTAACGTCGAAGGAGAAGATGATGGTGTCGATTTGAGGAAGAAGAAATTATATATCACTGAGTTGGTTAGTCAGCGCTGCGAGTCTGTATATCCGCGCTGTTCCATCCAAATTGATGATGGCAGCAATGCAAGGCAGGAGACAAAGGTTAGTGTGTTTTTAAATGAATTCTTCTAAATGGCGGAAAGCAATGAACGGCAATTTTGACGGGAAAGATGCCGGCGCGTAAACGAATGCTTCGAGCTTTTCAACTGTGCGAAAGTAGACTCGGTAGCAAGGGTATCTTCCTCGCACGAACATTAATTGTGATTTTTTTCTGGACCATCTTAGCTTTCTGCTGTGACTGTCATCACAAATCAATGTTTTAGGAGCAGTGAAATCAAATGTTGAGTGCGCAAATAGAGCTGACGTAGAGACCATCATCAAAGTATGGCTGCGCCACGCTGGAGAGAAACTGAAAAGGCTGCAGTCAAAGGCCGCAGATGTTCGACATGATGGTAAGTTTCTCATATTACCTGTTTTTTATTATTAATGCTTATGGATTTGATTTTTTTTCTGCAGATCCCGCTGACTATTTGGACTCGTGCTGGCCAAGATGCGAAGCCAGACTGCACGTCTGGTGCAGACGTTGAAAAAAGTCATGTATAACATTTGTTCTGCAATAAAGTATTTCTTGAACGGTTACCTTTGTTTGCAATAATGAATGACACGATCATGCTCATAGTTACAGGCTAAGAACATAGCGCAAAGAAATACGCAGAGGAGAAAACCGACAGGATGCTGGAGGGGAGAGGTTATCTTCGAACATGGTTAAAATTGCGCACAAACAGAAAGGAACAGAGAAGGGGGAAGAGAGAAGAGACAAGCGCAAACTCACAACTCGGTGCATTGAAGGTAGAAAAAAAACAAAAACAGCCCTCGGTTGTTCTGTTCTTTTTTCTACTTTCAATACATCGAGTTGTGCGTTTGCGCTTGTCTCTTCTCTCTTCCCTCTTCTCTGTTCCTTTCTGTTTGTGCGCAATTTTAACCATGCACAATCATTACCAATTCGCCCAACTAACCACTTTACTAAGGTTTTCTTCTCTCCTCTTCAGCAATCCGCCAGCTTGCTTCCTCCTTTCCCTTGCCCTATGTTTTTAGCCTCTCACTGACTATAGTGATCTAGAAGGACATCATAATGTCCTCAAAAGGCTGTCCTGAGGACATCCTGGGGATGTCCAAGTGTTGTCTGGGTAGTTTGGAAAATGCGGTAGATATATATAATGCCTACTGAGCGAAAAACCGTCGTATAACCCGATAAAAATACGATTAAGCGTCACGCGCTGCTCAGTGAGCGATCCCATACTTGTCCCATTACCTTGGCGTTGTCCTTGCGGTTGTCCTAGAAGTCGTCCTAACCTCTAGGACGACCTGACGTTTCACAGTATACGTGAAAAACAAGCGTCGTCGTCGTCGTCGTTGTGCACGAGAGATGGCCATAAAAATACGTCATCAGCGTGACGTCACTGCCGGAGCACCTTGTGCAAAAGGTGTGTTTTGGACTTCAGCTGTGCTCGTTGTGTGCTTCGTACGATAGACTGTGAGGCGACCCCGTCTACATCTACGGCCTTGACATCGGCAGCAGCGGCTACATACACGGCGGCTTCCGCAGGCAAACGTGGCCGCCCACGTCGTTCTTAACGTCGTCCTAGAGGTCGTTTTTTTACGCCGTCCTCTAGGCGTCGTTCTCGACGTCGTTCTTAACGTCGTTCTAGAGGTTGTGCTAGAAGTCGTCCTTAAGGTCGACCTAGACCCTGCACTTGGCGTTGATCTCTAGAAAGTCGTCCTCGACATCGTCCTATACGTCGTCGTCCTATACTTTAATATGTGAAGAAATATCATTAGCAAACATTTCTCCCGCCGCGACTATAATGCTTTCGCCTTCCTACACGTAAGCAAGCTTTAGTATACCCGTGCGATTTTTTTATCACTATTTTTGTGTAACTACATAAACCGATAAAATAACTTCTGGGAAAAATATATAGAATGGAAGTGTGCGCGCGTGGGGGGTTAAAACGCAAAAGTAAACCAGCTGCGATTCGCTTCCTGTAGCTCAAAATAATAAGACACAAAATTTTGTTCTTTCCGCCCTAGTTTCCCGAAACGATTACGGAGAGCCACATGATGGGCGAAGTCCTGGTACCTTATTTGTAACGATCAGACAGCGGCATTGACCTGTGCCTCAATCGACGTCGCAAACATCAAAGTTCGTCATGAAAATACGAAACATTGTTCGTTACATCTGTTTCCTTTCTGCGGCGAACTGGTCCACTCCGAGCAACATCGATTCCTGGGTGCGCAGGTCCTCCCCTAGGGCCCTCCAGCTCATAGATCGCCTCTTGTTGCTTCCCGTGCCATGTCTGCCTCCGCGGAGACCTCCTCGATTCGCCTCGCTCTCGTGACCGGAGGTGGAAGCGGCATCGGAAAGAGCGTCTGCCATGCCCTTGCCAGCGAAGGGACTTGCGTGCTCGTGGCGGACATCAACTTGGACGGCGCAACCGCTACTGCTACGTCTCTGCCAGGTATGGACGTCTGCAAGGGCGGCCTCTGGGCGCCCCCATGTTTCTTCTAGCGTTTGTAGATAGAAGCCAGTATTTCCAAGTCTACTGTCAAGATACTTCAAAATTATTTTGACGCTCCGAGTCTGGCTGGGACTCGTGCAGTGTCGTTTGGTTCGACAGGTAGCGCCATCTTATGAGGAACTCTTAAAGCTCTGAAATGTGCCACGGCCAGAATAATTGGACCCGGTCTGAAACCGAACATCAGTATGCACTGCCCAAAGTTGCCCTGAAGAAAGGGGGGGGGGGGGGGGGGTGCTTATGTAGGGACTCTTCAGTGATTGACGTGCTAGACTTTAGCCGCGTGAATCACTGAAGAGCCCCTATCTCCTCGCCCCCCCCCCCCCCCCCCCCCCCTTTCCTGCTCCTCTCTTTCTTTTTGTAAGCGCACCAATCATAATGCAGAAATTTGCGTCTCGAGTTGCTCCCCGAGCTTTTCCAAATACGCGTATCGTGCAGTTTCGACACTGGTCCTCAATTAAATACAGGAACAGGTTTGTGCAGTGTCAAATATAAAACGACTTGAAACATGCGTGGGGAGAAAAATTACAACCGAAGCGAAAAATATCCCAAATATTCCAGCATTTTTTTCTTTTAATCTGCGAACTAATTGGCAATTTGACCAGACTCGTTTACATGTATTGCTAACATTTATAGCATAGTTTCACAAGGCTCGTTTTTTAACAACTATAGCTATAGACTCATCGACAGCGTGAGAATGACATGGCGTGTCTTTCGAACGCCCGCGGCTTCCAGCGTCCGCTCCATTACCTGCTAGAGGCATAAATTTCCGAAGCATATATGTATATATGTACATGAAGCAAACATGCTCGAGACCGGGCCGTAGATAACTCTGGCATCATGTCTGCATCAAAAGCAGCGTTTCTTTTTTTTTTTTTATCTTATGATGTATGAGCAGTGGGACTCCAGCATTGCAAGGACAATTTTCATCTGACGAATGCGTTCGCTGCCTCGTGTACTGAGAGCCTCATGTATGCACTTCCCAGGCATTCACCAACATCGTGCCTTTAAGGTGGACGTCGGATGCTCGACATCGGTGAATTCACTCTTCGAGAGTGTTCGGAGTACCTGCGGCCGCGCGCCAAACATCGTGGTGCACTGCGCCGGAATCCCTAGCTTGGCAAACCCCCTCGTCCACACCAGCGAGGAGGACTTCGATGAGACCATCCGGATCAACCTCAAGGTTGTTTGCCATTTGCACCTCATATATGGCGGCGTATTCGGACTATTTTACGCGCGGATTTGGCTTTTAGGCGTAACTGTTTCCAGGCATGAAGCTTGTTGCTTCGCGAGAGTACACTTAGGATATATATACGTGTTTCATACCGAGGCTGGATCTAGAAGCGGGTTGAACAATAGGCGTCTGCGCGTAGCGATCTCAAATTTCAATGCGACTACTCAAGATTTGAGCTATGTATATTCTGGCCTCCTAATGCACACTATAGGCATGGGCAGTACACCATTTCAACTCAGTGTGCTTGCACCCTATTGCGTCGCACGTATGCGGAGTGGCGTTGTGCACTCCTTCACATTCTCACCCTATCGAAGAACCTGACGACCTTGATGTCGTCCTAGAGGTCGTCCTAGACGTCGTCTCCTATTACGTCGTCCTTGAGGTCATCCTTTGAGGTCGTCCTTTAGGCCACACTAGAGGTCGTCCTGGAGGTTATCCTAGGCGTCTTTCTTGACGTCGTCATCTAGCACGTCGTCCTCGACGGCGTCCTTGAGGTCTTTTTAGAGGTCGTCCTAGAGGTCGTTTTAGACGTTTCACTTCGTCCTCCTCTAAGAACCTGACGTCTTTAGAGGATGTTAGGTCGCGTGACCTGACGTCACGTGAAATATGGACGAAACTGTACATGAGCACATAGCCGGTGTGCAACGCGTGGCACATAGGCGATGTGCAACGATAACTGCTATCGAATTAATAGATAATCACCCCTGTGGTTTCTACAAATTCACCTCGACCATCAAATTATTATCAGACGTGTTACAATTTTTTTTCCCATTCAATCCAAATAAAATACAGGTTGTTTGGTCTTACTTTGAACATATTTGTTTATATTTTTAAAGAGCTGACTGTCACACGAGTGCCGTCTTCATCGTGTATTTATCAGACTCGACGATCATCAGATGAGGTAATAACCGTCATCAGCTAAAATACGTTCATACCATTTTTATTATTGGATTAATGTGTCGTGTTGCAATTGCCGCATAGGAGGCAGTTACGACTGAAAACTACCAATTTAAAGTCCTTTTTTTCTATATAACTACGGGTTTCAAAATGATTCCTAAATAACTTTTTTTTTTCTTTTTGCGAGAGGATTCTGGAAATGACTGCAGAAAGAGCCGCCTCTGATGATGCGTCGAAGAGTGATACACCTGTTTCGGGCGTTTCGTCACTATTTCGGCAGCGAGACGTCGGCACATCCGCCAAGGACACTCGACCTGCCGAAATGATGAATGGCAAGCTACGAACAACGCCAACCTTTTACTCTTATCATGGCGCCTGTGGCGCGTCTTCGGCTGGTGCGTTTAGCATGCTATCCCACCCATATATCAAAAGTTCTCCCGAACTAGCAGCAAAGACGTCATAATAGCCGGCGATTGCCGATGTCTTCGCGGAGTTCCTTTAGCTTCCGTGCACTGTCTGGCAGCAGCGCGGCCTGCAGTAGAACAGTCCAGCACCGTTGCTGTGACAATGCTGATAGCGACTGGCGACAGCATGAGACTTCTACGACGTCATCTGACGGAAATCGAGGGACCACTAATTACTATGCGGCAAAAGCACCAGTTGCAGATGCGTTCCAGGTACCATAGTCCATCGTACAATTATTTTTATTATTATAATAGGGAGTCTCGTAATGGGGGCCCCAACGCTTTGGGACCCCCGAGCAGCTTGGGGCGTCGCATGGGGCATGCGCACAACCTCTGCGCATGAGCGGTGCAACGCCCCAAGCTACTTGGAAGGCGTATATAAAGTTTCGGAGCTCCCTATACTCCAAAACACTCAGGCTATCGACCCGCCATCTTTCAGGGGACTTTCCTGATGACCCAAGCGGCCGGCCGAGCCATGATCGCCGAGCGAATCACCGACGGAGCCATCGTGAACATGTCGAGCATGATGGCGAAGATAATCCACAAGCGCGGGAGCGCGTACTCGACCTCCAAGGCGGGGGTCGTGGCGCTCACCAAGGTTGCCGCCAAAGAGCTGGCTTCCCACGGCATTCGCGTCAACGCGGTGCAGCCGAGTATTGTGGAAACCCCGATGGTCCTCTCAAACAGCAACGCCGCCGAGCGTCTGGCCCAGGCCGCGACAAACATTCCCCTGGGAAGGCCCGGTCTTCCGGAAGACGTGGCCAAAGTCGTCAAGTTTTTGTGCGGCTCCGGAAGCAGCTTTATGACCGGCTCGGTCGTTGACGTGGCTGGCGGCTTGTGAAGCCGCCGTCAGACTGCTCACTTGATCACAGAAAAGACACGGAGTTTCTCCGCAGACATGACGACAGAATCGTCTTCGGACACGGCTCAAGCCTGCTCGAAGCATGTTAACTTTCGTACATAAATGTTTTTGTATGACCAGTATGTAACGGGACCGACCTACGAGAAATCAACGCGACGCAGACGGTGTCTGCAGATTGTTGTACGATATATTCGCAGTGTGACCGTGGCCAGAGGAACAAGCAGCGTGTGGCGAGCTTCGGGCATTTTATAAACCAAATCCACTCTCTGACGTCAGCCCACTGCGGTGGCGCTGCTGTCGGCACTGCGCATGCGCAGGTGCTTCACTCCTCCCGAATTCGGTTTGTACGCTCGCGCGGTGCCCGCACCCGGTGTGGGCGAACAAGGGCTTGTTTGTAAGCTGTGTGTTGGCGCGTGTAACCGCACTCCACAGTTAAAGCGATTGCGGTATTAGCCGATGGGAATTCCACCATCGAAGGACGGATCACCAAGCAAGAGAAATGAACGTACTAACCCACGCCATGCGTTTCTGAAGCCTTCACGGTGACGATGTTGTTGAGGCACACGAGATCAGGCTCGAACTATTACGTTCGTTAAGTCGAGCATAACTAGAAGGCGTAAAGGGTTCAAAATAAAATTGTCTCGTAATAGACACTTTTCGAAATTTCGAAATGATGCGTAGATTATGTGCGGATTCCATTAGTTGGTCATGCGCTATGAGCACGCATTGGACACGAGCGTTTCGTCAGCATTCGGAGCGTACTCGGATCGAAACGCATTCTACACGAGGCTGCGTCGGTACTCGGCGCGAACTCGGAGCCAATCACGGGCTTCACGCCGGAAGGGATGAGACCAACTAATGGCGTCTGCGCATAATCTATGCATCATTTTACAGCTTCAGAAAAGATCTGTTGGCCATGTTTGCGCATGTTTATCTCGCTACTGCAGCTTGATTTTCAATAGCTTCGGGGAATTCGTTTAATAGTCATTGACAAAGTGAGAACGGCGGGGCGTCTATTTCGAACACTTTTGCTCCAGCACTCATTCCTTCTGCCATGCTTCAGCTGCGCGCTCGCGCTCGAATTCCATGAGGCCCTGAGCGTTATCAAAGCTAGGACGCTAGCGTTGGGCACCGGGAGACAACTAGCCGCTTCGGTGGCTCCGAGGCGAGAGCGCTCGCCAACGGATCCCCATGTGGCGGGTTCGGATCCCGGCCGACGTGCCCGCAATCTGACGGAGGCTTATTGCGGAGAAGGCGCCGTGTAACCGAGCTTTCGGTTGCCCGTCAAAAGATCCCCAGGTGGTCCAAATTAACCCTCAGTCCTCCACTGGGGCGTGCCAGATGCCCGTCTTTGGTTTGGCGCGTAAAACCCCCAAATTTGACATTTTTCGGGAGACAACTGAAGCTGCTCCCTGCCGTTCTCGCCTCGCCAGTGACTATAGAAAATGTTCACGTCCCAACTTTCTGCCTGAGCCCGCGTGTCGCCAATGACAACGAGCAAAACAGGACGTGAACCCAATCACCCTGGTACGTAAACAAAATCGTCGCGCCTATTTCTTTGCCTAAAAATGAGCTCTCGAATACAATAACCTCCGAAACACCCTAAGAGACAGCAATCGACAATTCAATCGGTTAGGGTTAGCATGACAGACTATAGACACAAACCAGGTGAGTGGGTTCGGAAGATGTTCCTGGGACCAAGTGCTTCTTGGAAATTGTGTATAATCGGTGGCAGGTTAAGAGTAAAGTAAAAGTTCCTCCCGTCCCTATCCACTTCGGCGGAGCGAACGCTGGAGACAATGTCACCTTCCCTCCAGCGTTCGCTCTCCCAAATGGGACTTGTCTTAACCTGTCACCGACTTTAGTGTACTTGAGGTTTGGCATGTTTTGAGTTGACTGAAAAAAAAGTGAAAGCCGTTTACAACTTCCTGTAACGCCGAATTGGAGCGCAGCTCTTGAGGAGGAGGAGTGGAGGGTATATTCCTCCTCTTCCCTCGTGATCATGCCTGCTAGTCCTCCTCCCCTCCTGCTCCCCCTCCCTCTCCTTTACCACCTTTACCGGGCGGGGGAGGAGGGGGGAGGAAGAGGAGCGGAGGGGGAGGAGGAGGAGGGGGAGGGGCGACGCCGACGCCAACGCCGACGCCGCACAGGCTGGAAACGGGTCATGTGACCCCCTCCACCCGAGGTCACGTGACCCGCCCGGACCATACTACACAATGAGGGGAGGAGGAGGAGAAGGAGGGGGGGAGGAGGAGGGGGGGGGAGGGGGAGGAGGAGAGGGAGGGGCGCGGTTACGCCGACGGCGACGCCGATGGCGACGCCGACGTCCAGCCTGAGCTCAGGCTGGAAACGGGCCCCTAAGAGCTGCGCTCTAAAAAAATATCCTGCAAAAAGAAAGCAAATCGCCGGTCCTTCGACCCCCCCCCCCCCCCCCCCCCCCCCCCCCGGCAGTCCAAAAATAATACTCACTTTTTTAAGTTCGACCGTAACCGAGGATATGATTCTATGGAGCCATTCACACAGCGCCAAAAGTGAATCGTCGCGGCGCCTCTTTGTGTGTTCGACATATTGTATGTTACCCACGCCGCGTTTCTGCGCTCCTTTTTTTCTGTGCGTCACTGGTTTAGTCGGTCTTAGCAAAGCCACAAAGAAAACGAGCGCCGTGGTGACGTACTTTTGGAGCTGTTTGATTTGCTGCTTTCAATGGTAGTGTGGGCAGCGAATAATAATAATACTCTTTATTCAGCCTAAAGGGCTGCGACACCACAGAAAGGCCATTGGCCCATACCTGAGGCCTGCAGTGCCGCATTACTACAAACAAAACAAAACAGAACAAAGGAAGGTTTTCACATGAAACATACACATAACACACACATACACAACACACAAACACACACATGTGCGCTCGCACACACACACACACTATGGGGGACGGGAAAAGAAAGGGAGGGTAAATCATTGTTGTTGGAGGTGGCCCGATGCCTCCTCGCTCCAGGTTTTAACGTCTTGCTGCTCAAGGAGCGGACACTCCGTCAGCTCCCTTGGCAGAAATCGCCAGAGTCCCACAGCCATTAACAAAAGAGAGTTCCGATGCCGCACAGTTTGGCCGAATAGCGGCTGCAGACCCCCAGACCTAGTCCGGCGCAGATGCTGCACCAGTGAAAGCTCAGAGTCCCTTGGTAACAGGCAGGTGGCCAGGAGCCGGACGGATGCCACCTGGCCACCTGGAGTGAGTGGCTTCCATCCCACCATCCCTAAACGTTCCTGTGGTGTTATGTCGCGGTAACGCGGGAGATCGGGGGAGGCCTCCCGCCGCAGAACTGCTTAGACAACACGTCGCGGCACACTCTTGAGGGATGCCGGCAGAGAGAGTTGGTGGGGGTCCCAGACTGCGGCGTAGTATTGTAGGTGCGGGAGGACGAGCAGTGTAGAGGTGCCGCACCATCGGCTTCAGCTCCGCAGGTAATGTTTAGCACGAAGCCCAGCATACGACGGGCTCTGGAAGTCACCTCGCTGATACGAGTTGGAAAAGTTAACTTGGTGCCGATCGTCACATTAAGGAGCCTTGCACGGCTGGTAACAGGGAGTGCCGTCCCGTTCAGGTGAAGTATGTTCTCAACGCTAGCATGCCTCCTTGACGGAGGGATGAGGGTCGATGAACACTTTTGGATGTTAAGGGGTAGCTTGTTTTGGACAGACCAGTTGTGGACTGTGGTCAGATTGTCCTGCAGTTTCTGATATTGGAGAGGGTTCTGGACAGGTTGGGCAATTGTTAAATCGTCAGCATACAGGATGCGATGTCATTTGTAAATATATTAAACAGGGTGGGTCCCAGGACACTGCCCTGTGGGATTCCTGACAAGACGCAGTTTGCTGCTGAGATTGCCCCTCGGAATACCACTCGTTGCGAGCGATTCAGTAAAAAGTCTAAAATCCACTCCTTGAGATATCTTGTTATTCCCGTCTTGGCAAGCTCCTGGCGAAGAATTCCGTGGTCCACCCTGTCAAACGCCTGTTTGAAGTCGAGCTGCACGACTTCACAGGGGGTGCGGGCATAAAGAAATGAGCTCAGCATGTGAACAGTGGTAGCCAAGGCTGACTCACAACTCCGGCCGGGTCGGAATTCATACTGGCTGATGCTGCTTCAGTTGTTGGAGGAGCTTTTTGTTGATGATCCGCTCGATTGTTCTACACACGACCAGGTAATCCAAATGGGCCTATAGGAGGCAACCAATGACGTTGGGGATCCATTTCCCTTATGTACAGGCGTAACAAGGGCCAGTTTCCACTGGTAGGGACCCGTGCTGGCTCGCAAAAAGTTTGTAAACAGCCGCATGAGTACTGGACTCAGACGGTCAGAGCACGCCCTTAACAGCTTTGAATGCACACCATCCGAGCCTGCACTTTGGGAGGGTTTCAGGTGCCTCAGGGCCTCACAAATATCATCTACCTCTATGTCCACACGTCCGAGCGGCACAACGTTTTAGGAGGGGGTAATGTCGGTGTTCTGGGGGTGTCGGGGAGGGTCTGACGAGAAGTGGGCGCTAAACATTTCAGCAATGGCTTGGGGATTCTGCAAGATGACTCCGCCAACCGTACACTCCAGAGAGGACGAAGACTTTCTCCGACGGTTCACATATGACCAGAAGAGTTTGGGGGACTTGAGTGCTTTTTGGGCAATCGCCTCCATGTAGGACCTGTGAGATGTATAAACTTCTTTCTTTAGATTTTTCTGGGTTTAACGTGCTAGGTTGAGGTGGCATAGATTGTTAGACTTCTTTGCTTTTTTTTTAAAAAAAGATGCGCTTCTGTCCCGAGATCTGTACGATGGTTTCAGTGATCCAGGGGGACCTCTGTCTTCCTGTCGAAACTTTGATGGAAACGCACTCCTTCTCGATTGCAGTGATTATAGGTCCAGCCAGAAGTCGTAGGCATCGTCCACAGATGGTTCATTCGTAGTAATTACACTAGGTGCCAGG